AATGAGACCTTAAATAAGTTATTTAACATCTCTGTGACTCAATTTCCTCACCTGTAAAATGGGGATAATTTTTAGGGTTATTCTGAGGATTGAATGAGTCAATCTAAATGCTTAAACAAGCCCCTCACACAGACTAAGCAATATATAAGTGTTGACTATTTCAATCCTTAAACAATACTCTGAATGGAGTAGGGTGGCTCATGCTTATGTTAGGTAGATAACAAGAGATTCCAGATCTCCTAGGGATGAAAAGTGGGTGTCTTGTCTTGTTGTAATTGCCCCACCTGGGAAGCAGGTAGGCCCCAGGCCCCCATCTTGGTCACGCCCTACCTTAATCCCTTCCCGAGCAACTGCCATACCTGGGGGGGGGGGGGAGGATACCCTATTAATCTGCCAATCAGCTGCAAAAGAATGCAGAGGACTCTCTAGCCCGTGGGCCAAGCAGCATTAGGTATGATACAGTCCAGAGAATGACCCAGAACCCACATGTGTGGTAAGACTCAGGTCATGCAAGCCCAACTGTCCAATCAAAGTGGTTTCCGCAGGGAGGTCCCAATCCAAGCACTATAAAACAAGATGCAGACCATAACCAGGCCTTTTTTTTTTTTTTTTTTTTTTTGCCCTTCTTTTGCTTTCCCTTTGCTGTCACAATGGGTCCAGTCGTCATCTGTGGCATATGTATCACACTCTGTAAACCTGTATCTTGCTCTTGCTCTATAATCCTATCTTTCTCTCCTCAATAAACCTCATTTTCGTGCTTGCCTTACTTTGGTGCATCCGGTCATTCTTCGGCCATGAGTGCCCTAAGAATTGACACTTCAGGCTGAAATCTGACTCTTATAATCCCAACTACTTGGAAGGCTGAGGTGGGAGGATCCCTTAAGCCTAGGAGGTTATAGTGAGCTATGATCATACCACTGCACTCCAGCCTGGAGGAAAAAAAATACCCTGCAGAAGGGTGCCAATACCATTCAACGGGGAAAAGACAGTTTTCAACAAGTGGTGCTGGAAAAACTGGATAATCACATGCCAGAAAATGAACTGGACCCTACCTCACACCATATAACAAAATTAACTTAAAATAGATCAAACATCTAAACTTAAGAGCTAAAATTATAAAACTCTTTTAGATGGAAACATAGGAGGAAATCTTCATTGGATCTCACAATTTCTTGAATATGATAATGAAAGCACAGGCAACAAAAGAATACATAAATTGGACTTCATCAAAATCAAAAAACAGTGCATCGAAGAACACCAACAAGAAAGTGAAAATGCAACTCACATAATGGAAAAAAAATTTGCAAATTATATATGTTAATGAATTAATATCCAGAATATATAAAGAACTCCTACAACTCAACAACACAGAAACCAACCACCTAATTCAAAAATGGGCAAAGGGCTTTAACAGACATTTCTCTAAAGAAAACACACAAATGACCAATAAGTACGTGAAAAGATGCTCAACAACCTTGAGAAATGCAAGTCAAAAACACAATGAGATTCTTGATAGCATTCAGATGGCTATTATCAAAAACATGGAAGATAGGTGTTGGCTAGGATGTGGAGAAAGTGGAACCCTCCTACATTCCAGATGGGAATGTAAAATGGTGCAGCCGCCATGAAAAACAGTTTGCCAGTTCCTCAAATAGTTAAACATAGAATTACCACACAATTCAGCAATTCCACTCCTAGGTATAGACCCAAAAGAATTAAAGGCAGAAACTCAGAAAGAGATCCCTGTAAAGCAATGTCCATAGCAACATTATACACAATAGCCAAGGCTCGACACAACCTCAGTGCTCCTGCACACATGAATAAACAAAATACGGTATATACACACAAAGAAGTATTTTACACAGCCATAAAGAAGAATGAGGTTTTTATATATGCTACCATAAGGATGAACTTTGAAAACATTTTGCTAAATGAAATAAGTCAAAAACAAAAGTACAAATATTGTTATTATTTCACTTATATGAGGTGCCTAAAATCGGCAAATTCATAGAGACAGAAGGTAGAATAGTGGTTCCCCAGGAGGTAGGGGGGAAGGGGCAACGTATTGTTTAACACTGTGCTCCCCAACCCCTGGTCCGAGGACTGGCACCAGTCTGCGGCCTGTTAGGAACCAGGCCGCACAAGTGGTCCGAGAGCAAGAGAAGCTTCAGCTGTATTTACAGCCCCTCCCCATCAGCTGCATCACCTCCTGAGCTTCGCCACCTACACAATCAGCAGCAGCATTAGATTGTACATTACGGTGAGCTGTATAATTATTTCATTATATATTACAATGTAATAATAGAAATAAAGTGCACAATAAATGTAATGTGTTTGAATCATCCTGAAACCATCTCTCCTCTCCCAATCCTTGGAAAAATTGTCTTCCATGTCACTGGTCCCTGGTGCCAAAAGGTTGGGGACTGCTGGTTTAATGGGTACAGAGTTTTGGCCCTCTGGAAAAGTGGGGCTAGGAAGATAATGTATAATGAATGCAGAGTTTCTGTCTGGGATGATGAAAAAGTTCTAGGAAATAGTGGTGATGGTAGCACAACATAATCAATGTACAGGCATCTCTTGGTATCCGAGGAGGACTGGTTCCAGGACTTCCAGTGCTATCAAAATCTGCATATGCCCAAAATGGCAAAGTATTTGCATTTAGCCTACTTTAAATACTCTCTAGAACACTTATAATACCTAATACAATGTAAATGCTATGTAAATAGTTTTGGTATTGTTTAGGTAATAACTACAAGATGTTATGTAAATAGTTGTTGTATTGTACTGTTTAGGGAATATGGGGAATAAACACAAGGAAAAAAGTCTGTACGTGGTCAGTACAAATGCAATTTTTTTTTTCCAAATATTTTCGACCCACAGTCGATTGAATCCATAGGCACAGAACTGAGGGATACGGATTAATCATTAATACTAATGATTTGTGTACCTAAAAATGGTTAACATGGTCAATTTTACGTTACGTATATTTTTCTGGAGAACCACTAAAGATTCTTAAAAAGGAGAATAACAATCTATTTAATACATATTGCTTTAGTAAAATTAATTTAGACTGAGGGTAGATAAGGCATGGAGGTTGAAAATAAGAAATAAGGCTTGAAACAGGGTTGGAAAATAAGTGAAACAGATGCTGGAGAAAACTATGTCCTTTGCCCTTTGCCCTTAGCCTAAAATGGAACAGCATTAACTCTGATCTAAGAGGTTTCTTACAGGATTTTACTGGACATAGTTGTTGGCCAGTCTAATACTGACCCCCATACACGTAAATCTGGGGTCCTGTTGACAATGAGTTCAGATGGGAACACATTAATGGCCAACATGTTCAAATAACTTTAAAGGCAAATACAACCTGACCAGATTTATAAATGTGACCTAAATATGCTTTTGAACTTACAAGTTCTCTAAATTCAAACATCAATTTTCCCTCGGTTTTTACAAAAATACAATTTTCATTCCATTAGAGTATCTTCTTAAATGTAAATAACACAGTTCTTCATCAGTCAATGTCTGTGGTTATACCTTAAATGACACATCATTAACGGAAAAAAGTTTCCTTGGTAGCAAAGTTTCCCCACTTTTCTCACTTCAATCAATAAATTATTAATCACCTATCTATCATCTCTCCCTCTGTTATGGTAAGGGGAGGAATATATCCTAACAATATAATCATCTATCCTCTTCAATTTAATAAATGTGAAAGTTCACATATAATATCAGTACCCTAGCCCACCCCTATTAAATCCAGTATACTGTCCCTTTTCAACTCTGTGTAAGAGAAACTAGGTCCAAAAATAAGTCCTAATTTGTTTTCACCTCTGTCTGCACCTCTCATCTCCTAATATTATCCAATCCTAATGCCACCATTTACATACTCAAAATTTACTGAATCATGTGCTAGGATTTACATTTTTTGCTGTGAGATTCAAAATATTGCCTTATGTTAATATAGTTACTTGGACAACAAAGCACGTTACATAAACAGTCACATCAGTAGTAGACTGCTACAAGTTGGTATATATGTAAATAGCGCCAGGGGGTCATGGTAAATCAGCTGGGGACCTCTAATCCTTCTAACCAGGTACCTATATACACAAGGGGAGATCTGTAAAAACATATTCGCCGAAATTTTGATTTTCAATGCCGAGTTCCAACATGTCACTCTCACACAGGAACATTACACGCCCACAGCTCTACGACCTATACATTTTGTTGGTTTGTTGTACCAAAGACAGTTAACATCTTTCAAGATCCCTGTCCTCTTAAATCACCAAATGAAAAACGGAGTCTGGTCAAACTCAGATGTCTGTCTACGTGTCCACCTGTAATATACCATATAAGTACTGTAATTTGTGTGATCAGATGCAATAGCATACATGGGGAGCCTAAGCTACAAAATTACTACCAAAGGAGAAACAAATAGGTTAAAAAAGTTAAAAAGCATCCTGACCTAACTAACTTAATTCAAAATGCATTCGCAAAAATTTAGGACTAAGCACTACGCAAGTAAGTTGGACAGCCCCATCTGAATCATCTAAAAGGCTTACAAAGATGTAGGTGGTGAAGAGAATCAAACTGTTCCGTAAATTAAGCTTTCAGAGATCCTAAGATGCAAATGACAGCTGGCTGCCAGAAAGAAGGGGTCAGGAAGGAGGAGTCTGTGGGAGACACCCACAGACTGGAAGGAAGAGGGGCAGGCTACCCCCAAGAGCAGAGTTTGTCCGAGGATTCAAGAAGGGCAGATGGGGATCTCCTGAACTGGGGAAGGTAGCCGGTCAGGCCTCCGTGCCCGCGTGGGAGCCCCCCTGTACATAAATGGGGGCTCACGACCGAGAGCTGAGGCCTAATTCTGGCAGCGGCCTGGGGGTTCGGCCAGCGCCGGACACTCTGGAGCAGGAGAAAGCAAGGGAACCTGGACCGGGAAAGAGTGAAAGGAAAGCAAGGAAAGACAGACCGGGGCCGCCGGGGCTCGGGCCTGGCCTCACCCTCTCATGGTGAACTTGACCACGGTGAGTCTAGAGCCCGCGCCGCTGAGCTCTGGCTGGAAATCCGGGTCGCTCCCGACCGGCTTCACTCCCACCATCCTCACAGAGAGCCGGGTAGGGCGGCTGCGACGCCACTGGCTTAGAAATTGAAGGCGAAGGCGACCCGGGAGAGGAAGGAGAGAAGCTCAGGAAGGCTAAGGCCTGGACAGAGGAGGTGGCGACAGGGGCGTCTTCTAACCAGGACTCTCAGTGCCGAGTCACGCCAGGGAGCGGAGCTGCCGAGGAGGCGGGGACGGGAGGGGCGAGGGGAGAGGCGAGGAAAAGGAAGATGAGCAGGACCCAGAAGCCACCGCGCGGCAGGGCCGCCGGCGCTTGCGCGCCTTGGCGTCATTTCCGCGCCGTCCGTTTTGGCTCCCATCGCCCAATCCTAAAACGCGAAGCGTAGCCCTACCCTCGACTGAGTCTCCTCGCGCTACCTTGAGCGGCGCAGGCGCAGATGTGTAGCGGTCACGAACGCAGGCGCAGACTGATCTCAAATGTTCTTGTGTTTGTCCGCGTTTGTTAGACCGCCCTCCGCTCCACCCCAGGCTTTTACCGAGTTTTCTGGGTTAGGCCAGTGAAAAGGGGCCTCCTTTTTCCCCGGGTTCATGGTTGCTGCTTAAAGTCAGAAGGTCCCCTCGGGAAATACTTTGAGGATGATCTTGTCCTGAATTCTGAGCGGGTCACTGCGCACAAGTAAAATAGACTTTAGAAACGTTTATTTACAGATCTCATTACATCTCTCTGTGCAGTGGTTGAGAAAGTATTGCGTACCTGTCTTTAGGTCTTGCCCAAAAAGATAATGGCATCATCCCTAATTTAGGAAATTTACAGTCTAGTGACAGACTCAAATACAGTAACAAAGAAGTTTGAATAGGAAGCGGTGGAGACAAATGAGATGGGAGAGTGGAGCCGGGTAAACTTGCTGGGAATGTGAGCCCTGAGTTCAACCTTGAAAGGGAGGAAGGAGTTAATGATAGATGGTGAGAGATAGTAGGGATGGGTTGAGAGGGCAGATAATAAGAATAGGTAATATTTAACACATTATGTACCAGGCAAGATACAAGCTCCCTTTTTTTTTTTTTTTTTTTTTTTTATGAGACAGAGTCTTACTCTTTTGCCTGGGCTAGAGTGCCGTGGGGTCAGCCTGGCTCACAGCAACCTCAAACTCCTGGGCTCAAGGGATACTCTTGCCTCAGCCTCCCGGGTAGCTGGGACTACAGGCACGCGCCACCATGCACGGCTAATTTCTTTCTATTTTTAGTAGAGACGGGGTCGCTCTTGCTCAGGCTGGTCTCCAATTCCTGAGCTCAAGCAGTCCTCCTGCCTTGGCCTCCCTGAGTGCTAGGATTACAGGCGTGAGCCACCACGCCTGGCCCAAGCTCTGTTTATGTACCAGCGCATTTACTTCTCACAACAACCCTGTGAAGTAGGTTCTGTTATTATTTCAAGTAAAGCAGGCTTTTTAAAATATCAGGCTAGTTTACAAATTATTTGGACTTAGCTGGGGAGACGAAATTTGAGAGGACGGTAGAGGTCAAATCATGACTAGGTAAGGCATTTTGATTTTATCATGAAGGCAATGGAAAAATCACTGCAAGGCAATTCTGTGATTATAGAGTCTTTAGAAAAAGCTCTAAGGTAGCAATGAGGAGGATGGAAGGCAGTGAGATCAGTTAAGGAGACTACCGTCACCAGGAACTAAATTAGGAGAGCAGTTGCAGTGGAAGTGAAGGGGAAGGAATATATTTGAGAAACAATTAGAAGATTAGAACCACTAAACCAATGGACCAATTTAGTGAGATGACAGAGGAAGGAGGTCTAGGATAACTCAAATATTTCAATCGTAGCTTTTTTTTTTTAATGAGTTAAGATGCCTTTAGGACATCCGGGTGAGGTGTACAGTAGATAGTGGGAAGGATGGGTTTGGAACTAAAGAAAAAGGAATAAGATAAAGTTACAGATTTGGAAGTCATCAGATTGGATGATAGTTGAAGCCTAAGAAACGTGAAAAGAGAAGGCTAAAGGTGCTGCAGAAGCAAAATAATTATTCTTAACTGTACCCAGCCAGATGAGAGACACAGTAATTATATTCCTTTCTCTTGTAATATCAGCACAGTGTAATGGCTTTCATAGACAAATAAAAATTCTCACAATAAATCTTTGCTACTTACAATTTGTGGCAGTAACCTCTCTGAACTTCAGCTTCTTTGTCTGTGAAAATTGGGTTAATAATACCTGCTTTCTAGGATTATGAGGGTTAAAGGTTATAGTGGATAATGTACATAAAGAGCCAAAACAAAAGGTACTCAATAAAAGATGTTTATAAACAATGATGTATTAGTCAGCTAGGGTGGCTGTAACAGCAGAATACCACACACTGGGTGGCTTAAACAGCAGAAGTTTATTTCTCACAGTTCTGGAGACTGGAAGTCCAAAATCAAGGTGCTGGCAGGTTGGTGTCTCCTGAGGCCTCTCTCCTGGACTTGTAAATGGATGCTTTCTCACTGTGTCTTCACATGGCCTTTTCTGTGTGCACACATGTATATACACACACATACACAAAGTACTGGTGTCTTCTTCTTATAAGGACACCAGAGACTATCTTCTCTTGTCTCTTTAGGCCTGAGAGTAGAAATCATTCCTGGCTGTTGGTGGCATGAGGGTATTGAGAAACCCTGGCCTGGCCACCTAGTCTACTGATGCTAGTGCAGACCTGACAAGACAAGAGAATCCTGACTTGGGCACTTCACATATATAGCAGGGACATGGGCCATTATAATCCCAAGGCACGTACCCGTAGGAAGCAGAGGTACTTGGAAGCCATAATTCCTCCATGGACTTTCATGCTTATAGCATGAACTACCTCTGGCCACCTAGCACTAACCTAACTGTAAGCCCAGATAATACCAACTAATTAGTAACACCCGGAGACTTCACTTTCCTACTACCAATAGAGCTCTTTTGGTTTGAAAAACACTACCATTTTTCTCCTCCCCTACCTTCACCACCCAGAGCATAGTTGTGTGGTGTATCCAGTTCCCGTCTCTATGGTAAAACTTTTCCACTCACTGCTCAATCCTTTATGTATTTGTCTTTATTTTCTCTTTAACATCACCATCACTTTTTGATTCTTCGAAACTTTATCCACAGGTTTATTAATACTCTCCTTACTAAATTATCCTCAATTACCCACTTCGAATGTGCTTTTTCCTTTTGTGACTGTGCCTCATATAAAAATTTGAAAAATGGTTCAACACCTGGTAAATTAGAGGCTGGAAGATTAATATAGCAAGCGGCAGATAAATACACGAGAGTTGCCAGCATGGAGGTCATAGTTGATACCACTAAAATAGGTGAGTTCGTCAGGAAATATACAGAAAAGCAAAGAGTTACAAAAGAAATTTAAAGAAAACCACAAATAGGGAGTAAAATGAGAAGAGTTAGGAAAGAAGCAGAGAGGCAGGAGGAAAATCACAAAAGTCAAGGGTCAAAGACCAAAAGGTAGAAGACTGAAAAACGCTTTGGAATGTAGGAAAAGAGTCATTAGTTATTACTCAAACAACCACTACCATTCGATGAAGTAAGACTGGAATCAGCGCACTGACAACCACAACAAATTGTTCAAGGCCTCCAGTGTGTCTGGCACTGGCTGAATACTCAGAAGTTAAAGGTGATTATTACATGTTCCTGTCCTTAGGGACACACACTCTTGTGAGAGGTCCTCACAACCCGGAGATACAGGCAAGATGGTGGTTATTGTCCCTACTCTGCTGATGAAAAGGCTGACATTCAGGTAAGTGTGTAATTGATTCAGAGCTATATAATTAAGCATCTGTGTAGCCTTCTCTAGGTTGCACTCGGCATTTTATAGAAACGAACTTTATATATGTGCATGGAAACATTTAGCAGATGTTATCACAAGGTCAGAAGGCATGGGTCGGGGGAAAATCCTACACAAAAATTCTACAAAGAAGGTTCAGATAGCTAAAACAAAAATAAGCTAGGCACGGTGGCACATGCCTGTAGTCCCAGCTACTCCAGAGGCTGAGACAGGAGGATCCCTTGAGCCCAGGAATTCAAGACCAGCCTAGGCAAAAAAAGCAAGATCCCACCTCTTCAAAAAATATTCATAGTTAACTAGTCCCTCTATGTCATTTAACTAATGCTTAATTTCATTAACTAAATTAAACTTCTTGGTGGATGAAATTTTCCCAAAACTCCATTTCCTAGAATTTCCATGAAAATTTTAGAAAAATCTTGGAGACTCAAAAACCTCTGCAAGGATTATTTATGATTATTCTTAGCAGCATGGGGAACACTCTTTCCATTCCTGAGATTAACGTATTCAGAGATGCCAAATATGCTGCATATATACAGTCACAAACTGCCCCCGCCCCACAACTCCTTACTTGTTCATGGCAGGAATTAGATGCCATGGTTTCCCAAAGAATCTAGCTTCAGCCTCAGAATTCCGTTCGGCAGAACTCACTACCAGGGTCAGCACACTAGATGAAACCTATTTGTCATTCCCATGTTTTTCTATGAAATTCATAGTTCGCATACTATAGTAAGTTCCTCAAAAATATAGGTTCCCAGTTTCATACCTAGAGATTCTGAGTCAGTAGAGCAGGAGTGTGGCCCAGGAATATGAATTTTAGCAAGCACCCAGGGAAACTGATGTAAGGGATCCACATTTTGAGGAACACTATTCGATGATAACTAGTCTACCATATACATAACGTTTACAATGCATTTAATATAGAGAAAGTACTGTGATAATGCTTTGAAACACCTTTCCTCTGAGAACATCTCAAGCGCAGTAAGACACTTCTACAAATATGAGTTAAAAATAAGTGCCATAGCAAAAGTAGTGGTTCAGAAAAAGGAGAAAAAATTTCTAGCTGGAAAGAACAGAGAATGCTTTATAAAAGAACATGTTCTAATATTCAGGTCTAGATAAACATAGGAAGGAAATGCATCAACTTCACAGAAATGACTCCTGATATCTCTCCTGAACTCTAGGCCTTAAGAGATCCTCCCGCCTTGGCCTCCCAAAGTTCTAGGATTACTGGTGTGAGCCACCACACCTGGCCTGATTTATCTCTCAACTTACCGAAAATATAATTTTCCCCCCAGATTCACCAGTTCTTATCAAGTCCAGCCAGTCACTGGAGGAAGGCCTTCTATTATGTCCCACAGCTATCATGGGTTCACTCTGCTAATTTAACAGCATACTGGAGATATGTCAGACATATCTGTCTCTCCCATAGCTTTTTTCACATAGTAGGCACAACATAAATATCGGTTGAATAAATGGCTA